TGTGATCGATGTGTCGTCTCTAAAAATCAAAGCTGAAGATGCCCAGAAAAGTCCAATCAGTGCCAAAACTACACCGCGCACTACATCATCAAAAGCAGCGACCAAAAAGTATGGTGGACTGAAAGCACCATACGATAAAACTACGGGCAAATCATCCAGAAATATCAAAGCAATGGAAAAAATGATGAAATCGCTTCAAAATTCGATGGAGGCGAATACGATGAAGGTGTTGAAGTCTTCGATGAAGAAAGGCGGACGGTGGGTAATTAAAAAAGAGCGCCATGAGAAGATAACCGTTGAAAAAGGGATGAGGCGAGCTAAATCGCATAAGAAATCTGCTCATTCAAAATCTGGATCCAGGCAACATAAACAATTTGCGTTCGCAAATAAAAATAAGCTCCAATGCAGGCCATCATTTGACACTTGTGGCTGCAATGCATTGAACAATTCACATCGTTGCGTCCTTCGGAAACCGCTCATTTGCTTTTGCTTCTGCGCATACACAAAAGGTACCGATGGATTCACTTATCACACGATTTGCCAATGCTGTGGCCCACCAAACAACTTGTGAGCGCATTTCTCTCATATTTAACCATTGAATAAAACATTTTTTTCGTTTCAAATCCAACAAATATTCGTTTTATTTCTTATTTTGAAAATTGATCAATGATTCCATTGCATTTTTGTTGTCATTGTGTCTAAACTGATGGCTGTCAAAAGCTTAAAAGAAAACAACATTCAAATTAGGTACATTTCGATTTTTATGATTGAATTAGCATCAGAAAACGATTTTAACATGATGAAATGGTTGCTATAATTCCCGTCACTCCATCATACGTCGTTCTTTGCGGTCGGTGGTGAGTCTATTGAAGATACAATTGGAGGACCATACAGATATGACTGAACGTGTGAACAGATACATTCAATGAGATTTCCGAGCAATATATCTGACAACGCCGTTTCACCATTTAAACTACTTATCAAAGCCATTTGAATCTCGGTTCGGTTTCCAAATAGTTTAAGAAATTCATTGTTAATCATCATGAAGATAATCAAAGTGCAGCTCGCCCTTTTCATTTGCAAATGAAAAAATATCTCTTTCAAATATTGCCTTTGTTTTTTCACTTGTGCTTGCAGTTCTCTTATTTGATCGTCTTATTTGAAGCAAATGCAAATTAAAAAAACGATTCAAATCAGTTTCATATTGCTCGTAGTGCATCCTAATCGTTTCAAAACACAATTACAACTTTCCACGCCGCAAAGCAATTCATTACAATATACAAGTGTTTTACGCAGCAGAAACCAAATAGGAAATGACCAATTCATTCTATTATGTTGATAACTCGCTCAAAACTGACAAGTTTTTTTTGCATCACAATATGAGACTTTTGATGCAATTCGGCTACTATAATATCATATACGTATGCAGTAGGCATACACAGTGATGTGCAATGTGCAGCATCATTTGCTGTTTTGTATTCGCATTAAAATAGAATCAGTAATGGTTAACCAATATCATATTTTTATATTTATTTCGGAGCGTAGTTTTCTTGCGATAATTATCAATTACATTTAGCCAGCCGGATGACGTTTTCAATGAATATTACAACCGTAAGGCATTTTTTTCCAATAGCCGTTTGCTAAGCTTATAGTTTCACAAATCAAATTTTATCAAAGCAACATTTGCTATTCTTTTAGTCAAAAAATTCAAAATTTATTGGATGAAAATTGTAGTACAAAAAAAAAAGTTGAAGAAAATTTCAATAATGTTCATAAATTTTGTGTTAATTTGAAGACATGGCAGAAGGAAAACACGGAGAACGCGGAAAATCCCAAACAAGAGACGACTCCGATTCGTCAGTGAAAGACGATGAAGTGCAAGTGGTTGTGAATTTACCTAGAAATTTAATCTGTGAAACCGCAGACAAAACCAGTATCAAATTATCTATAGGGGACGATGATTCAATTGTAGCAAAAGTGAGTCAAGGTGATGCGATAAAATCTAGAAAAAGTCAAGTGGAAAGTAGCGAAAAACGTCAGAAACGCAGAGATGGAGAAGAAGAAGAAGAAGGAGCAGGAGAAGGAGAAGGAGAAGGAGAAGGAAGAGGAGAAGGAGAAGGAGAAGGAGGAGGGGGAGGAGGAGGAGGAGGTGGTGGTGGAGTAAATTTCGATTCAGATGACGATGAAAGAGATAGTGTAAAAGAAAGACCACCGTTATTCGAAAAGACCTCTGCGGTTAATACCGATCGACATGCAAAATGTGGACACAGCCATCGTGACAACAAACCATGTAATGTTAAGCGGTCCAAAAGCAATGTGAGTGAAAAAAGTTCAGCTTCGCGCGTCGCGACTAGAGTGCAGCGGTCAGAGTCTGTTAAACATAAAAAAGTAGCTGATTCTTCGAAACATGGACCAAGTGTCGGTTCAAGATCCAAGTCTATGCAACGAAAAAGACAAGAATCTTCAACTGATCATCCAAAAGCACGTGGTGCTAAAAAATACGATAACAACAGATCGCCATACCAAGATAATGCTGGAACGAGTAAGCATTCATCGTCGAAAGCGAACGACAAGGATGACGTAAAGAGTTTATCGGGAAAATTGAATAAGATTGTTGATCGATTTGATGGTTTTACGCACGATTTCTCTAAAAAAATGGACAAACTCAATCACCGAGTTAAAAATCTTGAACACAAATGATGAAAATTGTCTTACTTTTTTCTATGAATTGAATAAAAGTTTTTCGGTTTTAATTTGAAAACATTCGCATTTTTTCTCAATAAATAACGGTTTTTCTAGTTGTCTTTTTTCAAAAATCAAATCGGATCAAAGTATCCGTTATTTTCTTTCAATCACAAATTGAAAATTCATTGAATCAACATCGAAATATTTGAAGGGCTTAAAATTTGGGAAAAAAATTGCAATTGTTTTTAGAAATTTCACGTCGTATTTATTAATTCATTTCAAAGTCATGGCAGAGGTAAAGGAGTATCTGTGGCATTTGCTGAATAAAGCAATATCGGCACCAAAAGCCGATGTTGTTGATTTTAAAGCGCTTCGCACATTATTGGAAGCTTCGATTGAACATGTTGGCGAATCTCAACTTCCTAGCCTTGCCAAAATCAAAGAAAAGCAACAGAAAATTCAAGCGGATTTAAAGCATCTCGGTGACGAAAAATTTGTCGTATCGGTCGGATTACCGGAAGATGGAATTTGTGATAGTACCGATCCAGTTGCATTGCATTTATCGAAAGTAAACGGTGAGCGTCTGGTTCGCAACGGCTCCCCATCAAGTCAGCAGAGAGATAGCAAAATCCATGCAGATAAATCACATGATCAAATCAGTGGCAAAAGTGAAACAATTACCAGAACAATATCTAACTCAAGTATATCACATGCAAAACCAAAAAAATCATCCGGAAGTAAAGAAAGCCCAATGGCAGACAAACACAACACACTTTTAAGCAGAATGATGTCAAGATCAGCGTCGAGCTCAAGTTTATCAACTCCAAAATTAAGCCAATTATCGGCAAGTCCATCGGTAGAAAGCCGTCACAAAAGCAAATCATTCGCCCGATCCGCATCGAGTTTAAGTTTGACAGCAGCTAAATCGAGTAAATCACCACGCAGTAATGAGGCTACCGAAATCGATGAAAAAATTGCAAAGAAAGGAATTTTTAGTCGCAGAGAAAGCAGATCAAGTATTCAAAGTACAAGTAGAGAGACGGCAGGTACTTCAAGGCATCAAACTAACAAATTGAGAACTAAAGCAGGCCATGACTCTTCAGCAAAAGACAGTGAACTGAGAGTGGTGGTGAATTTACCAAGGGATTTAATTTGTGAAAGCAAAGAAGCGACCGAAATCAAATTGTCGATACAGAATGGTGATACAATTGTAACACAAGTTAGTCAAGGTGGTGAGATTAAACCTTCAAAAAGTAGAGACGAAGTGTATTCCGATTCAGATCATGAGAAAAAAGCTGGTATTCAACGATCCAAAAGCGATGTGAGAGATAAAAGTGGATCTTCGGAAAAGCCACATTTATCGGAGAAATGGCCGGCAGCCAACGTAGATCGGCACGAAGCATATGGACATGGTGTTCATGACGTCGAAAAAACTGGTGTTGCACAATCCAAGAGCATTTTCAGTGATTCAGTTTCACGCGATGTAACTGAGCAAGACCGCGCTGCTTCCATCACTCCCGCTGTTTCAACTGAAGCGAGTAAATCTTCATCGCAAGTCGTTACGAGAAAGGAGGCTGAAAAGTCAAAGCATGGAAAAGAAGTCGCTGGGTCTTCTGGAGAAACTACTGAAACTGATGCTGGTGAACCAAGCGAAAAAAGAAAGCGAGATATTTCAAAGGCGAACGAAATTCCCCGAACAAGCGAAGCAGTTCACAAGTCTGTGCGTGATTTATTGACTGATTCATCAGCGTATGGAACGACAATCGATTCCAGTGGAACAGCAACACCCAGTAGCAAAGCCATTGCTCAAAACACTTCAAAAGAAAGTATTCGTTCAAGCTCTGTTGTGAAAGATAAAAACGAAATTGGCTCTTCGCGGCGTGGCACGAGTGTGGATTTAAGTGACAGATCGATGAGTAAAATTAGGAGAGAAAGTGGTGCTTCGAAACGAGACACAAGCTTAGAATCATCACCAAGGAGTCGCCATGAAGCTCGAAGTGTTTCAAAAGAGAGTAAAATGTCGAAATCAGCTGGTGTAAGTAGAAAGGATATCAGCGGCTCAAGGCAAAGCTCGAAAACTCCAGGAAAGGCAAAGTCAGCTAGTGTGGATCAACAAGGTTCACAATCACCTTTAACTGGTGTTTGGCCATCGTCGATGAGTGAAAGTGATGGCAGTGATGGCACAAAAGCGCCACGCACTAAACGTGACCGAACCGATTCAAGAAAAGACATGCATACACGTCATCGCACCGGAACCGTTGATTATTCGTCTGACCAATCACCGAGAAGTAGAATTGCTGCCAAAGACATAATGAAACGACCACAAATCATATCGCATTTTGCCGAGTCAAACAAGAAACATCTCGCTTCGATTATGGAAGAGCATTTTTCAGATAAATCCAAGAGAGTGGACTTGTATTCAAAACTCAAAGAATATAAACAAATCCATTTATCGAGAACAGAGCAGCAAATGTTGAAAGCATATAAAGTGAATCAAGGGCAACCATCTGGAGTTGAATCACCGATAGCGTTCCGGAAATGCGAATGTAATGCATTGCGCAATTCAAATGTTTGTAATTGCGAACCGAAAAATTGTTTGCATCCAAGGTCCTGCCGAAATCCTCGTCTCTGCTTCTGCGCCAACTCCTATATGAAAGGAAGTGACGGAGTTACTTATCACACAAAATGCAATTGTTTTGATAATAAAACCAATAAATGATGGAGAAAATCAATCTATCTTCTTTCGGGATACTTTTTTGTTTCGTTTTTTGGCTACTTTTCTATCAGAAATTTGCGTTTTGAATGAAAAAAAATTCGATTTATGCATACATTACAATAAACACAATACCTGTTGATTTTCATTGTATTACACAGTACAATACACTTTTTGCGTCTATCCGGATCTAATTATTTTCAAATAGGGCACCTAAATACAAGCTCAAATCGAAAAACCATTTTGGTGCTTAATTTTTTTCTAGCTCATACATCAAGAAATTGTGTCACTATTTGAGTTTTTCTCTAACATGATGTTATAACTCTAAAAATTCCAGACAAATCCACATTCACACACAATAGTATGGAGTTTACTTTTATACTAAAGTGTCATAACCAATACATTCAAATATAATTGACATATACGAATGGGATGGATCAAAACGGAGAAATACTTGATGTATTTTGTTGACGATTGAAGCAAAGTATATCAATAGCGCCGCCTAAAATGATGCGACATTGGATGCGACGTTCGAACGAATCAACACCTCTGTGTACAACGCACACATAGACTCTTTTCATTCACACGAACGTACACACAAAGACTTTACTTTCATACGTACGTATAGTTACAGAGATTTGTGGTTGGTGGCGCTCCCAACAAAGTTTCCACAGCAATTCTAAACGTCAAACATTGCTATAGCATATGAGCTAGATAGTTTTGGGATAAATGTCATCTCATTTGTGTATATTTGTTGATGCTGACATCTGCTTTTGCGATGAACTTTATCCTATTCGTATATGTCAACTATATTTGAATGTATTGGTTATGACACTTTAGTATAAAAGTAAACTCCATACTATTGTGTGTGTTAGTGTCAATTCTATTTAAAAGTGGAGATCATTACGAGCATTTTGATCCCACATTTTTGTGGATGAAGCTGCGTCTGTACCGGAATCTGTCACATTTATCCCAATAGCCGGTAATGAGATTCCACTGAAATGAGTACACGACGAATCTTATTTTAAACAGAAATGACCCATTTATTTGAACTCAATATAATTTTTATAAAACAAAAATAAACTAAATGGATGTTAAATGTTATTTACTCAGACTTACTATTGGCTTGCTTTCGCTATTCGTTCTATGACTTTCGCTAATCGTTCAGAGATGCTTTCGCTAGTCGCTCATGCTGGTGGCTGAGAGTGAGAGAAATTTTGTGCGGCCTTTTATACCGCAATTTGGCGCGAAACGGCTTGGTTTTTGGCGCGAGCGGCGAGAGCGATATAATGCGAAGTGACAAGCGAGAGCGGCAGAGAGCGTCACATTCAAAACGAAGAACGAACGCAAGTAATCGAGTGACTAAAATGGAAAGAAAAGAAGTTAATAAATTTATGTTTGTTCCATTTGGAACAGCCGGTTCGTATTCTTTTCGAGAGATTCGAAAGAGTATTGAACAAAATTAT